GAAAGAAAGAAAGAAAGAAAGAAAGAAAGAAAGAAAGAGAAAGAAACAGGACTTGTGCTGAAAACTGGAGGTGGAGAATGAGTGTAATGAAAGTCAGGGGCCCAGAAAGGAGAAATGGATTATAATTAATGATCACAATCTTGCAGAGCAGCGGGCTGAGCAGGTCACAAATGAAGAGAGAACTCCAAGACCAGAGAGTACTTGGCTCAGGCTGGGGAGCCACAGGCAGCAAGTCTCTGCAGAGGTCTTGCCCTGGGAGCCAGGAGGCTCAGCTCCAAGGTCACGTCTACAGTGAGGCCTTCCAATGATTCAATCCTCATCCCCACAGGTCCCTTCTGGGAGCTCCCTTAGCACAGTGTACATGACGCTTTATAGCACTGGTGGTGTTATATAGGAGTAATGTCTCCCCCCACTACATTGACTACCCCCAGAAGATATATTCTTCTTTATATTCCTAGAATCTAGCACAGCCACTAAATTAAAGTGAGGAACTCAGTAATGTTGGATGGATGGATGATTTCAGTTATGTATGAAATATATAATTTTTCAAAGTGGACACATAATATGCACACCTTCCTCTGTATGGTTTGTCTATTCATGGAGAGCCGTGCCCTGAAACTCTCTGCTCTGTAGGAAGGTATACCAGGCCCATTAACCACCTGACTATGTTGAGTCTTCAGGGTATGTGAAGTCAGATGGGCCATGGGGTCTGGGCGGGAGGTGATGTTCTACAGGCAAAACATGAACACTGTCAACAATAAAAACCTTTGGTTTGTGTGTGCCCTGACTGCCTAATTAGAGCATAATATTGATTCTTTTTAAAGGTTAGTAGCCAACAAGTTTAAGATTATGGAAAAAATAAAATCATTAAGGGAGAAAAAACCCTAAGAGAGCAGAGAACAAAAAGAAAGCCTCAAGCCTTCTGAATGAATTCAAGACTTGAGGCCAGATGATCTAAATTCTAAGGAATTTCAAAAACTTGTAGACGAGAACTCTGAGCAATTACAGAGAATAGTGCAGACACTGCCAGAAAGCTAAACACAAGCAAATATTCTAATTTTATGTAGGGGAGTGGGGGCAGTAAACTCTGATACTAATAACTCTGTAAATAGGATGTCCTCCCCAGGCTCATCCACTAAATAACCATCTCGTGTGATTTGGGAAAAGAGCTTCAACATAGGTTCACAGATTGCAAACTGCTTTCACTCAGTCAACAGTCAAGAACTATGCTGGCACAGAGTGGGTACTTAATAAGTATTTCCTGGTCGTTGTTTTCATGTGTTCTTTTAAAAATAATAGAAACATTTTTTAAGCATGCACTCTGTGCAGGGCACTGCTCTAAATCCTTCACATTTTGGGGCACCTGGGTGGCTCAGTCAGTTAAAGAAACGACTTCAGCTCAGGTCATGATCTCATGGTTCATGAGCTTGAGCCCAGTGTGGTGCTCTGTGCTGATAGGTCAGAGCCTGGAGCCTGTTTGGATTCTGTTTCAGATTTAGATTCTCTCTCTCTCTGTCTCTGCCCCACTCGTGGTCTCTCTCTCTCTCTCTCAAAAAATAAACAAGTATTAAAACAATTTTTTTTAATTCTTCACATGTTTTAATCCATTTAATTCTCAAAATAACCGATGAGGTAGGTGGTATTATTAGTCCCATTTACACAGATAAAGAAACTGAGACACACAGTTTGTGAGCAAACTATGTTTGCTCACAAATATTTATGGAGCACCTTCTATGTGACAGATATTGTGCCAGGTCCTGGACAGATAACCCTGAACAAGAAAGACACATTTCCTACCCCTCCAAGAACTCAGTCTACTGCGTGAGATAGGTATTATCAGATAATCATACAAATAACTACTAAATCACAGAATGCTGTGAGAGTGTATCAAGGGGATACCGGACCCAGCCCAGTAGGTCAGGGAAGGCTTTCCCGAAGGGGTATATCTAAAGTAAAGCTGAGTAGGAGCTGGCTAGGGAAAGATGTAAACCCATCATGTGAAAATGTCTTGAGGAAGAAGGCCAAGGCATGTGAAATGAAAGGAAAATCTACTGGAGCAGAAATGAGAGAGAGAACAGAACCAGAACCAGGTTAAGTCTGGAGAAGGACAAGGGCCAGTCCACACAGAGCCTATGGGACACATTCCAGACAAACAGACCCTTGCAACAGGGAAGAGTCAGAGACACAATGAGGCTGGATTTCAGCAATCCCTTCAACTCAGCCTTGAAGAAATAGTGAAGTGTAAACTAAGAATAGAATGATTTTGGTAAAGTTTTAGTAAAAGATTTGCTAAAGAATGTTGGCTAATTTATGCACGCTAGAAAAAGCTCTCTAGGGACATGTTACCAAATTAAAACCTTGAACTTAAATGAATCCATCGTAGATAATGGCTAGGGGAAAATGCTAATCGGATGACAGAGTCACAAATCCAAAAGATCCAGGCAAGTTGGGAAGATGATCTAAAATCAACAAGACGATACCTCCCCCATGAGATGTTATATGCATATCTCTCATATCTGGCTATAGCATACTTCATAAAATCTTGGAAGAAAGTTCCACAAGCTTGCAGCAACTTCTTCCTCAGCCCTAAAACAAAACACTGCAACTTTCCTAGAGTCTGAGTCTTACATGCCTAAGCAGGACTCAGAAGTGAGAACGCCCTAGCAGTGTCTTTCATTCTCAAGAGATAAGACAAGTTTATGATTCTTAAGATATGCACAAACCCAAACACAAAGGACTCTGAGACATACATGTAATATGAAGGGGTCTAATCAAGGAGGCAGGCGCTGCTGTACCAAAGACATGATATAAAATGTTGGGGACAGGTGTCCTGGCCCCAGGAGCAGTGAACTGGCAGAGGAAATGAGCCCCAACGCTCAACCTTGTGAACTATGAATAATCTTCTGTTTAATTTTGTCTATTCTCCTAGAGACACTGGAGAAAATAAGTTCATCAACAGGGAGAAATTAATAATTTTTAAGTATGTATGTATATATATATGATATATACTATATATACATCATATTCTATGTATAATATAGATATAGAACATATATATTCTAATCCATTACATATTTCCATATCCACATATATATGGAAAAAGCCTGACTTGACATTAGGTTATGTGAAAAACGACCCAGAAGTTTGAACTGACCTCAAGCCCAGCATGAATCAGCACTGTGGTAACCGCCTGCTAAAAAGGCAAATGCTAACTTGGGCTATATCCAGTTGTGGGAGAGAATGATCTCACTCTATTCTGGGCTGTTCTATAAATTTGCCTACTCTTCTAGGCAACCCCTTTTATGGGGGCACCGACAAGCTCAATGATGTCCAAAGCAGGATAGAGAGAACAGTGAGGGAACTGGAGGCCACGAAACAGTAGAAAGAGTTGAAGAAAGTGGAGATGGGGCATAAATCTACCTGAAGAATAAATTTACACAGATGATAAGAGCCATATTCAAGTAGTTGAAAGGTTCTTCCACAGAAAAGAAAAGATAGTCTTGGCCAGGCTACAGGGTAAAACAAGGAAAAAGAAAGGTATTAAGGCCAATAACACTGTGGGGGTCCAACAAAGAATAGGAAGGTAGTTACAGAAAGATGGATTCTGACTCATTAAAGGCAGAACTCTCATATAACCTTTCTAAAAAATGGAGAGGGATCACTTGTTGTCAGAGAGCTCCTTGACCCGGGGACATGTAAATATCAGCCCATTTTAAATTCAACCCCTCCCTCACATACCCCAGTCTCAATTACTCTGCTCTATTTTTATTAATACTCATCACCTTCTAACACACTATATAACTTACTTATTATGTCTATCAGTTATTGGATGCCCTCCCCCACCTTAATATAAAATCCAGGACAGTAAGGATTTTTGTTTCTTTTTGTTCACTCATGCCTAAAACTGTATCTAGCTTATAGAAGATGCTTAATAGGGGCACCTGGCTGGCTCAGTCAGTAGAGCATGTGACTCTTGATCTCAGAGTCATGAGTTTGACCCCACATTGGGCATAGGGCTTATGAAAGAAGGAGGGGAGGGGAAGGGAGGGAAGGGAAGGGAAGAGGAGGGAGGGAAGAAGCAGGAAGAGGAAGGAGGGGAGGGGAGGGGAGGGGAGGGGAGGGAAGGGAAGGGAAGGGAAGGGAAGGGAAGGGAAGGGAAGGGAAGGGAAGGGAAGGGAAGGGAAGGGAAGGGAAGGGAAGGGAAGGAGAAGGAGAAGGAGAAGGAGAAGGAAAGAAGCACCTGGGTGACTCAGTTAAGCTTTCAATTCTTGATATCAGCTCAGGTCATGATTGAGCCCCGAGTCAGACTCTGTGCTGAGCATGGAGCCTGCTTGGGATTCTCTCTCTCCTTCTCTCTCTGCCCCTCCCCCTCTCGCTCACATCCAATCATGCTTGCACTCTCTCTGTCAACATAGAAAAGACACTTATTAATTATTTGTGGGAAGAGGAAGGCAGGCAGGTAGGCAGGCAGGCAGACAAGCAGACTGGCTGGCTAGAAAGCCAAGGATCAATGATGCTGTAAGGCAGGTACTCCTGATCCAGGTTTAGAAAACAGCTACAAAGAATCTCTAAACTCAATGAAATTAAATCAAAATTTAGTATGTATATGAATTTTCTAGACAGGGCTTATTATCAGATGTTCAGAAAGATCCATAATCCAAGGAAGGGTTACAAACTCTGGTCGCCAATGAGCCGCTACTTAGAGGAAGGGACTGGACTTGAAAACCTTCAGATCCCTACCAACTTCCAGATTCTATGGTTCTGTGAAAATGCCAGACTGCACCGCCTGCCACAGTCCTGAGCTCGGCAGCAGATGAGAGGACATGAGACTGCAGATGCCTTCTAAGCCTGTCACCTCACCATCCTGCTCTCATCCCCTCAGTCAAACACGGGGACTTTGATCTCTAGGTGTTGGGAGGAGACTTTAAATGGTACTGAGCACCTAAGAGCCTCAAGCTCTAGCCACAGAAAATCTTCTTAGCCCTGGTACAATCCAGACTCACACGGTCCCTCATCACTCTGGCAGAGCAAACCCTAGTGTAACTGGGATGGATAGTTTCCAACATCCCCTTCCTCTGGGAGGTCAGCTGTCAGGTAAAGAAGCTGGCTGTTTCAAAGGTAAAAGAAGGGAGGTGCCTGCTATCTTAACATGTAGCAGTAGTGTTTGTTGAATAAACATTCAGATGCAAGATACTGTACCAAGCAACCGAGCAACAGTGGGTGTTCAACAAACACATGTCTTAGTTGTTCATTTATTCAGCACCACTGAGTCCTTCTGTCTACCCCATCTTCCATTCACCACATGCTTTCCCACCACATGCAGTATCAACACACACATCCATGAACACACTTTCTTTTTTTTTTATTCTTTTTCATGTTTTATTATGTCTTCTTTAATGAACACCTTTCTTTTTTTTTTTTTTTTTTTTTTTTTTTTACAAATAGTTTATTGTCAAATTAGTTTCCACATAACACCCAGTGCTCATCCCCACAAGTGTCCTCCTCCATGCCCCTCCCCCCCTCCCCCCCACATCCATCAGTCCTCAGTTTTTGTCAGCATTCAAGAGTCTCTCATGGTTTGCCTCTCTCCCTTTCCCCCACCATTTCCCCCCTTCTTCTCCCCCTTGTTCCTCCGTCAAGTTCCTCCTAATCCTCCTCTACGTGCAAACATATGATATTTGTCCTTCTCTGTCTGACTTATTTCGCTCAGCATAACACCCTCAAGGTCCATCCATGTTGCTACACATGGCCAGATTTCATTGATTCTCATTGCCATGTAGTATTCCATCGTATAGATAAACCACATCTTCTTGATCCATTCATCTGTTGATGGACACTTAGGCTCTTTCCATGTTTTAGCTATTGTGGAGAGTGTGAACACACTTTCATATATGTTGCTCTCTCTCCATGAAACTCTCTAGTTTGGTAATGGCTGTGCGTTAACACAAAAACTGATTAACAAAAGCCAAAGGAGCCCAGTAGTTACCTCTTTGCCATTGTCTGTGTGGATGCAGTTCTTGTCTGGGTTCAGCTCAGTCACTCTGGCTTTGATCCATTCTACTCCAGATGGTATCACACTCGCAGTGGGACGGCCTGATGAGGATAACTGTTTGGCACCAGCACCCACCAGTGTCCAGATTGGCTGGTAGAAATGTCTCTGAGAAACAAAGCATTGGAGATTCAAAGGGTTAAAGTTAAAGGCACATGAGCTAGACTCTCAATTTTTCCCTTCCCACCCTTGGATCATTGTACATAGAAGCCTTAGAAGGTGAGTTCTGCCCTCCCCATTGGTATCTCCCAATATGTTAAGCTCTGAAAGGCAGTCACCCAACATAAGAATTCTGCCAAGATTGGGGCGCCTGGGTGGCTCAGTCGGTTAAGTGTCCGACTTTGGCTCGGGTCATGATCTCATGCTTCGTGGGTTCGAGCCCCACGTCAGGCTCTGTGCTGACAGGTAGCTCAGAGCCTAAAGCTTGTTTCAGATTCTGTGTCTCCCTCTCTCTCTCTCTGACCCTCCCCTGCTCACGCTCGCTCTCTCTCTCAGAAATAAACTAAAAAAAATTAAAAACAAAAAGAATTCTGCCAAGATCATAAAGAAATAGCCATCAACTGTGTTTCATGACCATTGTACTATTTATTGCTCAAAGTTGATTTGGTGCTTAACATGTACATGTTATATATACATGCATACATACATATATATTATGGGTACATTTATATACACAGACATAAAGGAAAATTAAGCCTAGAAGCCTAAATATGGTTCCTTAGAAGCATCCGGAGACTACACTAAGTCTGGAAAGTTTACAACCATTTTTGAGGAGTCTCAAAACTTCTTTTTTTTTCATTAAAATAAGTTTTTTTAGTATTTATTTTTAAGAGAGAGGGGAGAGGCCAAGATAGACGGAGACACAGAATATGAGCTCCAGGCTCCAAGCTGTCAGCATAGAGCCCGATGTGGGGCTCAAACTTGTCAACAATGAGATCATGACCTGAACCAAAGTCCGGCACTTAACCAACTGAGCCACCCCTTAAAACCTCTTTAACTTTCAACTGTGTTTCCCAAGCGCATGGAGGACTACAGACATTCCCTCTCAGCCCCGGTACCCCGTCCTCTGCTCTCTAAGGCTTTACACCCGAAGCCAGTAGGCACCAGATCCTACCTTCTAATGCCAAATTTCCACTGTGTCCTGGAATTTTCTTGCTTCAGATGGTCCTCTCTTGATCTAAGTTAGTTTTGAAAGTTCTAGACTCATGGGCAAAGGGCAGATTGGTTTCTGAGAATCCCAAGATACTCATGGAGTGGCCTGGGGGACCAAGAACTCTCAACACTGTCAGAATGCCTCAAACTGGCTGAACAGAGTTCCCAGACACAGAGCAATAAAGAGGATATGAAAAATGGCTTTGCAATCCTCCTGCAGCCAGTAATGGATGTGATCAAAGACAAGGGGAACAGACGTCTCCAATGGTGAGAACTCATTGATTTCAACTCCATCTTGAACAGAAAAAGGAATAAAAATACAAGTCCAGACTCTTTTTTTAGACTACAAACAAGCATCAGCTCCACCAACAACAATGCAGGACACAGGAGGGAAAGTACCCAACCTCTGAGTCCCTGGCAGCACCTTTGAGAGACTCCTGTCTCGAACTTCCTCTTGGAGAAGGACAGCCATAATTCTGGCCTCCTGAACTGTGCCCAGTGTTTCAGAAAAGCCCTCATACAAAGAGTAGCCCCAATGGGAGACGTGCCCTTGGCTTAGCTATAATACACCACAGGTCCCTGACAGAGCTCTCAGATCACTGTCATTTAAAACACTATCCTGGGGTACCTGGGTGGCTCACTCCGGTAGGTGTCTGACTTTGGCTCAGATCACGATCTCATGGTTTGTGAGAGCCCTGCATTCCTCTCTGCACTGACAGCACAGAGCCTGCTTTGGATCCTCTGTCTCCCTCTCTCTCTGCCCATCCCCAGCTTGCTCTTCCTCTCTCAAAAATAAACATTAAAAAAAATTTTTTTTTAACATGGAACCTAATCAGTCACTTTAAAAAGGAAAATGGTAGAGCACACCCTCTCTAGTCCACTCCCAGACCACAGCACACAGTCTGAGGTTACAACAAAGCCCTGGGCAGTGTACAGGGACTGGGGAGAGTCCTTGAAAAGGGGTGTGCTTTTCTTGACTTACCTTCCCCATCAAACAGGATTTGTATCCATTTCGCTTCCCTCCCAAGGACACAGCTTCCAATGGGTATACACGTAGTACCTTAGGAAACCTTAGGCAAACCTCCAAAAATCTGGAATCTTTTTTCTGAAGCTTCTGGACCATCTTAAAATGCTGTACATGAAATAGTGCCTTACGAACACTTCCCCACTTCCTTCCTGGTATCTCTATCTTTTTCTGCTTTGTTATCTATGTGTAAACCCTTGTACTTAAATTTCCCAAACCCATTAACACCTTTCCCAGAGGCCTCCCTGTCCCTCAACTCATCACCTGTTCTGCAGACTAGAACAGAGAAAGGAAAGTACAATGAATGGCCACTGATTTTCCTCTGGACACTAGGTTGGAATTGGGAGGCATTTATGGGTTGAACGGTCTCTCCCTAAAAGAGATATTCAAGTCTTCACTCCAGTACCTGTGAATGTGATCTTATTTGGAAATAGGGCAGGTGTAATCAAGTTAAGATGAAGTTAGACTGGATTAGAGTGGGCCCTAAATCAAAAGACTGGTGTCCCTATAAAAAAGCCATAAGAAGACACTAAAGAGCCATAGAGAGAAGGCCATGTGAAGACGGAGGAAGAGATTGGAGTGAAGCAGCTATAAGCCAAGGCATGCCAAGAATGGTCCACAACCATCAGAAGCGAGGAGAGGCCTAGGACCAACTCCCTCTTCCCTCCACAGCCTTTAGAAGGAGCATGACCCTACTGACACCTTAGCCTCCAGAACTGTGAGCAAAAAAATCTACTGTGTTAAGCTACAAAGTTTGTGATAATTTGTTATGGCAATGCTTAGAAACTAATACAGAGAAGACCATAAAAGCCTAGATCTCTCTCTCTCTTTCTCTTTCTCTCTCTCTCTCTCCTCCTCTAACCACCTTCTCCCAGTCCTTTTAGATGGCCTGCTTTTTGTGTCCAGAAGGAGAAGCACTAATCCAGGAACAGGACAACACAGTGCCTAAAATCCTTCCTCTCCCTCCCCCCCCCCCCCCCAAACACACAGGTGCACGTGCACATGCCCTCATGCACTCACAACGGAGAGACTTACCTCACTGGGCTCAACAATGGCCACATTCTCTGCACCCACTTTCCTCTTCATGCGAGCAGCCATGGTGATCCCACCGCTGCCCCCACCTAGTACCAGCACTTCATAGTGGTTCTTGGCTGAAAGGCCGGCCCCTGTGTGCAGCTGAAGTGGGCCAGCCTGCTGAGTGCCCAGCCTGAGGAAGCAGGCAAAGAGCCGGGCCCGGGGGCCAGATACCACAGTGGCCAGTGGGGTCATCTTCACGCTGGATCAGGCTGGAAAGGAGCAGACAAGGCTGTGTGTAAGGCAGGGACCCCTACGGGACCAAACCATTTTCTTTCAGGGAGAAAAGGGAGACTGGTAACTGACCAGCTCTAGTTGGTTCCCACCATCTGCTCTCAAGACCATCTTCCCATCTGGCTGTGGTCAAAAGTCTCCTGGGAACACTCCACTGACAGCTAACAATTGGCTAAGCTTTCCATTTCTCTCCCTCCTTCTTTCAGGAACCCTAGGACTTTTGTTGAACCAGACAGGACTTACTTTTTAAGTTCTCTCTAATAGTTTGCCAAACTGGGGTATCGGGTGGCTCAGTCAGTTAGGCATCTGATTCTTGGTTTTGGCTCAGGGTCATGATCTCACTTTTCATGAGACCAAGCCCCACACTGGGCTCTGTGCTGACAACAAAGAGCCCACTTGGGATTCTCTCTCTCCCTCTTTCTCTGCCTCTCCTCTGCTCACTCACTCTCTCTCAAAATAAATAAACTCTAAAATAATAACATTAATAATTAGCCTACACCTCTCCTTGTCCAACCACAAACCTAGAGTGCCACCCATTCCCTTCTCGGAAACACTCCATAACTGTTTCTTTGACCTTTGCACCCATCAAAGATGTAGGAGAACAGAGACACATCTGTAAAATTCCTTGCCCTAAAGGGCACCCGAGATCTTGATGGAACAGAAACAGTCCAGAAGAAACCCACCTTCTGCAACCCAGAGTTCAGAGCAAGGTAACTGAGGCCGTGGGCCCCACTCAGAGGCCTCCTGGCTCCACTTGCTCACGGACATGCAATGTCATCAAATCACTGGCCGTGCGTAAGCAAAAGCCCTCTGCACCCTTGGTAATTTCAACTAGATGATTACAAAGCCATAAAAGGAGCCCTACCTGGTATCATAAAGTTATGTTTTACGTAAAGACTCTGTACACGTTGCTGACCAGTCTTTTATTATGTCCAATCCAGTCAACAGTCTCCCCTTCCCAGTTCCCCCCAGAGACTTTACCTTTAGGGAAACATGTGTCTGTGCTGAGCAGGTAGTGCTGTGGCAGTGAAAGAGTGAAGGCTTCTCAGAAACTGCAGAATGGGCCCTACACCTTGGGCACCACCTACCTGTATAACTTGCAGGGCCCAGACTCAAAATATCACCCTCTCTGGGTATTCCGCTGCCCCAAATCCCACCATCAAGTTCAGTCCTCTGGGTTCAACAATGCCCCAGGAACCCTTTATTAAAATGCAGACACCCAGCTGGGGGATAACACTTCCAGCTGCTGAGGTCACCAACTTCTTGGTGGGAACAATTTAATGCTACGATTTTCCCCCAGCAAAAGAAGAGGAAGGTTACACAATGGGATGAAACAAAGCCAAGAGGGGGAAAGGATGTGAAAGGAAGCAAGAAAGGCTCTGGAGGAGGGAGAAATGACCTAGTGGGAAGGAGGAGCCAAGTGCTGATTTAACTTGAGAATGAACTATTCTAGGGTTTGAGTACTCCTCCCCACACATAACTTCCAAGTGAGAGAGGTGGGGGCATTTGGGTGCTCACAGAAGGTGGGGCAGGCTTATAAACTGTAGCTAAAAGTTTCAAATCAGTATGACCCTTCTAGAAAATAACATTTCTCATCCGTTGTCCCTGCGTTTCCATTTCTGGGATTCCAGGCTAAGGAAATAACCTCTAACGCTAAAGAAGAAAAACATTTACAAAAGTATTTCTCACAGATTCATTCCTAATATGGTGAACCCTCAGTTAAGTGGTTTGTGGATTGGATCTGAGTACATCCTGATTACAGAAAAAAACTACAGGCTCCACATTGGCCAGGGGAGGCTCGGGGCCCAGACAGTTTTAACTGACATGAATTGATGACTGACTCAATTTAATATGGTAGGGAGGGGCAGGGAATAGCAGTCTGAGAGTAAAAACATCAGGGAGAAAGGTTAAGTATGGTTATATAAGATAATGGGCGATTTTGATTTCTTCTGCTTTTCTGTGTTTTATAAAATGTGTACCATAAAAATATATTAATGTTATAATAAAATCTTTATTTTGATAAGTAATATGTATTAAGTCCTTTCCACAAGCATGTAATTTGTGAGCTGGATGCCCTTATCATCTCCATTTTATAGATGATAAAATCAAGCCAGGGAGCAGTTAAGTGATTTCCTCAAGACGATATTGTCCATAAGTGGTGGCCATGATTTGAACCTAGGCACTTTGGTGCCACTGCCTGTGTTTTAAACCACTGTACTCTACTGTCTCTCTGATACTTACCCACAGCAACAAAATGCTGCCCATGTGATGATGTTAAAGGGAAAAAATCCAGATATATTTTCCACGCTTCCCAGAGAAGGGAAACTATTTTTTATGGTACTGACACCTAAATATTAATGTTTTGATGTAACTATAATTGATTTTTTTCCTTTTCTTTGCGTGTGTTTTTCTCAGGTGTTCTTTAATGAACTCCAGATTTCAAATTTTAAAAATCACTCAATTTGATTTTTTTTTAAATGACTGAGGAGTGGAAGAAACCACCAAGTTGGATGTTGCTGTTTGGTAGTGAAAGATGTTTTATGGTGAATAGACAGTTGTTACATCCTGCCTTTTCATATTATCCACAAAATGACAGATTAACAGCAAAACTCTTCACTTCCCAGAAGAGAGAAACCATTTCTTCATGGTCTTGACACTACATCTTAAAACGCCATGGAAAGGGTTAAACAATAATGATCTAGAAGGAGGCCTGGCTAAGTTCCTGGTTTCCAGCCACTCCATCCAACGTCATTTAACCTTCTCATTCCCTTCCAGCCTAACACGCCACAGTTTTTCTCTTGAAAGAGAGAGTTCACGCAAATATTTCCCTCATTCAGCCATGAAAGCTAGTTCTATTTTATTCCAGCAGCTATCCATAGCCTGTTTCTGGATTCAGTATTTATAAACACAAAGTCCTCTCAAACAGTTTTATCAACTTCATTAAAAACAGTCATCAAACAGAATGTCAGGGGGATTGATTCCATAAAAACTGCTGAACAAGATTCTAATAACTTCTGTGTTAGTGAGCACATGGAAGTGCTGGGGGCAGGGGTCGCTACCAGGAAGCTCCCTACCACCCACCCCGACCCCCGTACCTGTGCTCTCTTCAACCTGGCTGTTTCTGTGTTGTAATAAACTTTATAATAAACTGGTAAGCATAAGTAAAGTGTTGTCCTGAGTTCTGTGTATCATTTTAGTGAACTGTGAAACCTTAAAAGGTGGGGATCATGGGAACCCCCAATTTTGCAGTCAGCCAGATAAAATGTGGGTCCCCTGGGACCCCATTTGCAGCTGACATCTGAAGTGGGGTCGGTCTTACGAAGCTGAGCCCTTACCCTGTGGGGTCTGATTTAACTCTGGGAATTAACATCAGCATTGAACTGCTGGACACCCACTTGGTGTCAGAGAATTGACTGGGGTTGGAAAAACCATACATTTGGTGTTAGGAGTGGTGTTATATAACGTTACTCAGGAACCAATAAGAAGGTCTGACATTGACCTAAATCAAGCCTATAGCAACAACCAAAAAAAAAAAAAAAAAACCAGACAGCTGAAGCAAAAGCCACACAATCTTAACCAGAAAGCAAACAGAAAAGAAAAGGCCAGACCTGACCCTGTAGTCATCAGAAAAGAAACAGATAATATCTGTCTACCAAATAACTAAGAAGCACAAATCTAATATGATTTCTAAGTTTCTTGAGAAGGTAGCCTGAAACTGGTGAGGTTAAGAAATAAGAATTAACCCTCTCTCTCTCTAAAATAAATAAAATGGGGAAAAAAGTGTTTTTAAGGGGCACCTGGATGCTTCACTTGGTTGAGCATCTGACTCTTGATTTTGGCTCAGGTCACGATCCCAGGGTCATGGGATCAAGCTCCGCACAAAGCCTGCTTAAGATTCTCTCTCAATCTCTCAATCTCTTCCCCCGCCCCGCCCTGTCTACCCCTTCCCTCAACATATACACTCTCTCTCTGTCTCTAAAATAAATAAATTTTTTAATAAAAAAAAGAAATAAGAATTAACTCCCAATGATACAGAAGAATGCAGCCACTTTATCTCTACATTCTTAAGAGGTGAAACACACACTTTAAAAAAAATAAGGCAGGGCACCTGGGTAGCTCAGTCGGTTAAGCGTCCAACTTCGGCTAAGGTCATGATCTCACAAGTTCGTGGGTTCGAGCCCCGCGTCGGGCTCTGTGCTGACAGCTAGCTCAGAGCCTGGAGCCTGTTTCAGACTCTGTACCTCCCCTGCTCACCCTGTCTCTCTCTCTCTCTCTCTCTCTCAGAAATAAATAAGACGTTAAAAAAAAAAAATAAGGCAAATTTAACTTTCATTTCACATGTGCATGCAACAGATTTTATAATTAAATAATTTCATGATTTGAAGTTAGATAAACATTCTTCAGCTAATCCTAAATCAATTGAATGCCTCCTTTGAGAGATCAAAATAAATGCTCTGCCGTATCTGTAGTCTAACCAGCAAAGTACAGTCCCTCTGACTGAAAAGAGAAGACCGTCGGCATCTCCTCCTCATGTTACTGGCCGCTGGCTGCAGGCCGCGATCCAAACAAGTCCTTTGGCCTCCACGCTTTCCCACTGCTGGCCCTGCTTGCACAGGCAGTGCAGACCACCCGTGTCAAAATCTCCCTAATCTTATGCCACGTGACATGCCACTGGCTGGGTGTCAGTTAGGACACCTGGCTGAGTTCAAACAGCGGGCCTCTAAGTAAGGATTATTCAGAGCATTCTTAATGAAAGATCCATCAGGCCAGCAAGGCTTGTAGTAAACCTTTCAGCTACTTTTGCTCTTGAGGAAACAGCGTGTCTCTGCATGGTTCACAATTATTTTACCTCAAGCCGACATGACACCAGGCAGGGCCCTCCTTGCTTTGGGTTTCAATAGCCACGAAGCCAACCTTCAACTTGTCGGCTCCGTAGAACACTTCCAAAATCAAAGCAAAAACTAGATAATGAATAGCC